GTAGATCGCTGGATTGTTAGATCGCTGAATCTGTAGATCTGTAGATCGCTGGATCGATAGATCTCTGGATCTGTAGATCGCTGGATTGTTAGATCGCCGGATCTGTAGATCGCTGGATCGCTGGATCTATAGATCGCTGGATCTGTAGATAGCTGGATCGGTAGATTTTTGGATCTGGAGATCGCTAGATCTATAGATCGATGGATCTATAGATCGCTGGATCGGTAGATCGCTGGATCTGTAGACCGCTAGATCGGTAGATCGCTGGAGCTGTAGATCGCTGGATCTATAGATCGCTAGAACTTTAGATCGCTGAATCGGTAGATCGCTGGATTTGTAGATCGCTGGATCGGCAGATCGCTGGATCTGTTGATCGCTGGATCGGTAGATCGCTGGAGCTGTAGATCGCTGGATGTATAGATCGTTGGATCGTTAGATCGCTGGATCTGTAGATCGCTGGATGGGTAGATCGGTGGATTTGTAGATCGCTGGATCTGTAGATCGGTAGATCGCTGGATCTATAGATCGCTAGATCTTTAGATAGCTGGATCGGTAGATTGCTGGATCTGTAGATGGCTGGATCTATAGATCGCTGGATCTGTAGATCCCTGGATCGTAAGATCGCTGGATCGGTAGATCGCTGGATTTGTAGATTGCTCGATCTGTAGATCGGCAGATCGCTGGATCTATAGATTGCTGGATCTGTAGATAGCTGGATCGGTAGATTGCTGGATCTGTAGATCGCTAGTTCTATAGATCGCCAGATCTATAGATCGCTGGATCGGTAGATCGGCAGATCGCTGGATCTATAGATTGCTGGATCTGTAGATACCTGGATCGGTAGATTGCTGGATCTGTAGATCGCTAGATCTATAGATTGCTAGATCTATTGATCGCTGGATTGGTAGATCGCTGGATCTATAGATCGCTGGATCTATAGATCGCTGGATCGGTAGATCGCTGGATCTGCAGATCGCTGGATCTGTAGATCGCTAGATCTATAGATCGCTGGATCTGTAGATCGCTGGATCGGTAGATCGCTGGATCTATAGATCCCTGGATCGGTAGATCGCTGGATCTATAGATCGCTGGATCTATAGATCGCTGGATCTGAAGATCGCTGGATAGGTAGATCGCTGAACGTGTAGATCGGTGGATCTATAGATCGCTGGATCAGTAGATCGCTTTATCGGTAGATCGCTGGAGGTGTAGATGGCTGGATCTATAGATCGCTGGATCGTTAGAACGCTGGATCTATAGATCGATGGATCTATAGATCGCTGGATCTGTAGATCGCATGATCAATAAATGGCTGGATCGGTAGATCGATGGATCTATAGATGGCTGGATCTGTAGATCGATGGATCGGTAGATCGCTGGAGCTGTAGATCGCGGGATCGGTAAATCGCTGGATTTGTAGATCGCTGGATCTGTAGATCGGTAGATCGCTGGATCTATAGATCGCTGGATCTGTAGATAGTTGGATCGGTAGATTGCTGGATCTGTAGATCGCTAGATCTATAGATCGCTGGATCTATAGATCGCAGGATCGGTAGATCGCTGGATCAGTAGATCGCTGGATCGGTAGATGGCTGGATCAGTAGATCGCTGGATCGGTAGATGGCTGGATCTATTGATCGCTGGATCTATAGATCGCTGGATCTATAGATCGCTGGATCTATAGTTCGCTGGATCGGTAGATAGCTTTATCAATAGATTGCTGGATATGTAGATTACTAGATCTATAGATCGCTTGAGCTGTACACCGCTGGATTGTTAGATCGCTGAATCTGTAGATCTGTAGATCGCTTGATCGGTAGATCGCTGGATCTGTAGATCGCTCGATCGGTTGATCGCTGGATCTTTAGGTGGCTGGATCTATACATCCTTGGATCGTAAGATCGCTGGATCGGTAGATGGCTGGATTTGTAGGTCGATGGGTGTGTAGATCGATAGATCGCTGGATCTATAGATCGCTGGATTTGTAGATAGCTGGATCGGTAGATTGCTGGATCTGTTGATCGCTAGATCTATAGATCGCTGGATCTATAGATCGCTGAATCGGTAGATCGCTGGATCGGTAGATCGATGGATCTATAGATCGCTGGATCGGTAGATCGCTGGAGCTGTAGATCGCTGGAACGGTAAATCGCTGTATTTTTAGATCGCTGAATCTGTAGATCGGTAGATCGCTGGATCTGTAGATAGCTGGATCGGTAGATTGCTGGATCTGTAGATCGCTAAATCTATAGATCGCTAGATCTATAGATCGCTGGATCGGTAGATCGCTGGATCAGTACATCGCTGGATCAGTAGATCGCTGGATCGGTAGATTGCTGGATTAGTAGATCGCTGGATCGGTAGATGGCTGGAGCTGTAGATCGCTGGATTGTTAGATCGCTGAATCAGTAGATCTGTAGATCGCTGTATCGGTAGATGGCTGGAGCTGTAGATCGCAGGATCTATAGATCGCTGGATGGATAGATCTCTGAATCTGTAGATCACTGGATTGTTAGATCGCTGGATCTGTAGATCGCTGGATCGGTAGATCGCTGGATCTGTAGATCGCTGCATCGGTAGATCGCTGGATCTATAGATCGCTGGATCGGTAGATCGCTGGAGCTGTAGATCGCTGGATCTATAGATCGCTGGATCTTTAGATCGCTGGATCGATAGATCACTGGATCTGTAGATCGCTGGATCGCTAGATCAATGGATCTGTTGATCGCTGGATCGGTAGATCGCTGGATCTGTAGATCGCTGGATCGGTAGATCGCAGGATCTATAGATCGTTGGATCTGTAGATCGCTGGATCGTAAGATCGCTGGAACGGTAGATCGCTGGATCTGGAGATCGCTGGATCGGTAGATCGCTGGATCGGTAGATCGATGGATCTGTTGATGGCTGGATTGGTAGATCGCTGGCGCTGTAGATCGCTGGAACTATAGATCGTTGGATCGTTACATCGCTTAAGCTGTAGATCGCTCGATCGTAAGATCGCTGAATCGGTAGATCGCTGGGTTTGTAGATCAATGGATCTGTAGATCGGTAGATCGCTGGATCTGTAGATCGCTGGATCGGTAGATCGATGGCCCTTTAGATCGCTGGATCGGTAGATCGATGGATCTATAGATCGGTGGATGGGTAGATCACTGGATCTATAGATCACTAGATCGCTGAATCTGTAGATCGCTGGATCGGTAGATCGCTGGAACTATAGATGGCTAGATCGCTGGATCTGTAGATCGCTGGATCGGTAGATCGATGGATCTATAGATCGCTGGATCGGTAGATCGCTGGATCTGTAGATCGCTGGATCTATAGATCGTTGGATCTGTAGATCGCTGGATCGTAAGATCGCTGGACCAGTAGATCGCTGGATTTGTAGGTCGATGGATCTGTAGATCGGTAGATTGCTGGATCTGTAGATTGCTAGATCTTTAGATCGCTGGATCTGTAGATCGCTGGATCTGTAGATCGCTGGATCGGTACATCGCTGGATCTGTAATCGCTGGATCGGTAGATCGCTGGATTTGTAGACCGCTAGATTGGTAGATCACTGGATTTGTAGATCGCTGGATCTATTGATCGCTAGATCTTTAGATCGCTGAATCGGTAGATCGCTGGATTTGTAGATCGCTGGATCAGCATATCGCTGGATCTGTTGATCGCTGGATCGGTAGATCGCTGGAGCTGTAGATCGCTGGATGTATAGATCGTTAGATCGTTAGATCGCTGGAGCTTTAGATCGCTGGATCTGTAGATCGCTGGATGGGTAAATCGGTGGATTTCTAGATCGCTGGATCTGTAGATCGGTAGATCTCTGGATCTATAGATCGCTAGATCTGTAGATAGCTGGATCGGTAGATTGCTGGATCTGTAGATGGCTGGATCTATTGATCGCTGGATCGGTAGATCGGTGGATCAGTAGATCGCTGGAGCTGTAGATCGCTGGATCTATAGATCGCTGGATCGTTAGATCGCTGGATCGGTAGATCGCTGGATCGGTAGATCGATGGATCTGTAGATCGCTGGATCGGTAGATCGCTGGATCTGTAGATCGCTGGATCTATAGATCGCTGGATCGGTAGATCGCTGGATTTGTAGATTGCTCGATCTGTAGATCGGCAGATAGCTGGATCTATAGATTGCTGGATCTGTAGATAGCTGGATCGGTAGATTGCTGGATCTGTAGATCGCTGGATCGGTAGTTTGCTGGATCTATAGATCCCTGGATCTGAAGATCGCTGGATCGGTAGATCGCTGAACGTGTAGATCGGTGGATCTATAGATCGCTGGATCAGTAGATCGCTTTATCGGTAGATCGCTGGAGGTGTAGATCGCTGGATCTATAGATCTCTGGATCTATAGATCTCTGGATCGTGAGAACGCTGGATCTATAGATCGATGGATCTATAGATCGCTGGATCTGTAGATCGCATGATCAGTAAATCGCTAGATCTGTAGATCGCTGGATCGGTAGATCGATGGATCTATAGATCGCTGGATCTCTAGATCGATGGATCGGTAGATCGCTGAAGCTGTAGATCGCGGGATCGGTAAATCGCTGGATTTGTAGATCGCTGGATCTGTACATCGGTAGATCGCTGGATCTATAGATCGCTGGATCTGTAGATAGCTGGATCGGTAGATTGCTGCATCTGTAGATCGCTAGATCTATAGATCGCTGGATCTATAGATCGCTGGATCGGTAGATCGCTGGATCAGTAGATCGCTGGATCGGTAGATGGCTGGATCAGTAGATCGCTGGATCGGTAGATGGCTGGATCTATAGATCGCTGGATCTATAGATCGCTGGATCTATAGTTCGCTGGATCTGTAGATAGCTTTATCGGTAGATTGCTGGATATGTAGATTACTAGATCTATAGATCGCTGGATCTATAGATCGCTGCAGCTGTACATCGCTGGATTGTTAGATCGCTGAATCTGTAGATCTGTAGATCGCTTGATCGGTAGATCGCTGGATATGTAGATCGCTCGATCGGTAGATCGCTGGATCTTTAGATGGCTGGATCTATAGATCGCTGGATATATAGATCGCTGGATCTACAGATCGCTGGATCTCTACATCGTTGGATCGTAAGATCGCTGGATCGGTAGATGGCTGGATTTGTAGGTCGATGGGTGTGTAGATCGGTAGATCGCTGGATCTATAGATCGCTGGATTTGTAGATAGCTGGATCGGTAGATTGCTGGATCTGTAGATCGCTAGATCTATAGATCGCTGGATCTATAGATCACTGAATCGGTAGATCGCTGGATCGGTAGATCGCTGGATCTATAGATCGCTGGATCTATAGATCGCTGGATCTGTAGATCTCTGGATCGGTAGATCGCTGGAGGTGTAGATCGCTGGATCTATAGATCGCTGGATCGTTAGAACGCTGGATCTATAGATCGATGGATCTATAGATTGCTGGATCTGTAGATCGCATGATCAGTAAATCGCTGGATCTGTAGATCGCTGGATCGGTAGATCGATGGATCTATAGATCGCTGCATCTGTAGATCGCTCGATCGGTAGATCGCTGGAGCTGTAGATCGCTGGATCGGAAAATCGCTGTATTTTTAGATCGCTGGATCTGTAGATAGCTGGATCGGTAGATTGCTGGATCTGTAGAGCGCTAAATCTATAGATCGCTGGATCTATAGATCGCTGGATCGGTAGATCGCTGGATCATTACATCGCTGGATCAGTAGATCGCTGGATCGGTAGATGGCTGGATTAGTAGATCGCTGGATCGGTAGATGGCTGGAGCTGTAGATCGCTGGATTGTTAGATCGCTGAATCTGTAGATCTGTAGATCGCTGTATCGGTAGATGGCTGGAGCTGTAGATCGCAGGATCTATAGATCGCTGGATCGATAGATCTCTTAATCTGTAGATCACTGGATCGTTAGATCGCTGGATCTGTAGATCGCTGGATCGGTAGATCGCTGGATCTGTAGATCGCTGCATCGCTAGATCGCTGGATCTGTAGATCGCTGGATCGGTAGATCGCTGGAGCTGTAGATCGCTGGATCTATAGATCGCTGGATCTTTAGATCGCGGGATCGATAGATCACTGGATCTGTAGATCGCTGGATCAGTAGATCGCTGGATCTGTTGATCGCTGGATCGGTAGATCGCTGG